TGAAGGATTGGATGGGAAAGCCTTGGCTGAAAGTTGATGTAGCATTTTGCCCGAGTGTACACATGTAGCACACGGTGAGGGGTCAGAGGTTTCACATCTCCAACTCCCAAGAGCTCGACAGTCACCTTCTCTTGTCGGCGAGGAAATGAGAGACACGATGACGAATCATGATAGGAACTCTTGTTCCCCGAGCTAATCTCATAGCACCCCAGGTTCAGCACAAGTGTCAATGACATGAGAGCCTAGATAATAGCCCCGATAAAAATAAACCCATGAATTTGGTGGTCTCACTGCTGGAGCCATTGCATACCTGATCAGTGCCTGATCAGTGCCTCATCATTTCCTCATCAATGCCTGACATCAAATTAAATTAAATTAAATTAACTGATCAGGAATTGATTTCGATTTCAAATCGAAATAAATGTCTCGAGTCAAAGTTGAACGAATTGTCTGGCTACTTGTCTATTTAAAAACCCAACTCTCCCTCATTAAAAAGTCATTCTCCATTTGACTCTTGAAGAGGATCAGCACGAGGCATCGAACCTCCTTGCCAGAAATAGCTAGTGACATCAGGGTCGTCTCAATCCTTTCCTCACTGGCGCCTCGACTTTGAATTTACCTTCGTATTCCATCCACCTTTTCAAGATCGCTCTGGCAAATAAAGGCCACAATTGTCATTTCCTAACGCTTCGACACCCACACCCATCGCCCACTTTCCATCAACCCAAATAAAAAAAAAAACAAAAATGTCGTATTTACTTTCACTTCAAGTACTCCAGGTTATTCACAATCACGAGCTCAACCTTCAAGTTCATTTCTCCAACGGCATACTTCAAATATTTCCACACATCCAGAACGTCAACTTGATTGCGCGAGAAAATATTCAAATACAAGACGTATTTGAATATTTTAATTGAATTTAAAATTGAATACAAATTCAATTAATTTTATCTAAATTAAAGTCTTCTTATTTCCACAGTAAAACATCAGAATAAATTTCCTACAATTATTCCTTCACGTCCATAGAAAAATTATTTAAAAAAATGGAAATGACTTCCTGAAATTGAAGATGATTCTATCTTTTTTCAACTAAAAAATCACCCCTGATCAGGGGTGCATTTTCATTCAAAATTAAATTTTTTTTTGGGGGTCGGAATCCAAAAAAAAAAAGAAAAATCGAGAGAAAAAAATATCTGGTAGTTAAAGCAACGTTTACGAAAGTCAACGCCCAAGAATAGTCATAATAGATCAGCGCGTGACACGAATGGAAATATATCAAGCTGAGTAAAATTAATGTCACCAGAATGGTATATTTATAGTAAAGAAAATTTCCTCAAAGTGTATCACTAGTTATTCTCGCGATTAGAATGATTCTGGAAAGGAGTGATG